ATGTGCAATTATTGGTAAGTTGGTTGGGGCAGTTTACTATCTTTCAATCCCGTACGCCTGTGGATGATACCTCTTGCAGCCATTATATTAGGGTTCGGCCCACAGTGATGCGCCGCGTGGGGTTTTCTTTCCGGAGTCTCCACTGCCCCTAGAGGTCAGGTCTAAGGATCCAATGAGAGAAAAATTGGGTGGTTTTTATAGAAACCGCGTATATAAGTACAGTATATACAGTGCATACATATGGTACTGCCCAGCGCAGTCAAGACTCAGTTGCGGATCCAGCTAAAAAAACTCTCAAAGTCAAGGCCTGCCGAGGCATTGCAGGTGTGGGAGTAACGAAAATCTTGCAAGGGTTTGAATGGCACCACCGTATCTACCCATCTGGTAGACATGATGCACTCTCCGGTTCCGTACTAATATCCAAAAGGTATTTGGTGCGAGCCCAACAAGAGCACGATATGATACCAGCACTTCCGATATACGCTGCCTCTCAAGACCGGCCATGGTAAACAGCAATTTTGCTTGTCGTGCAGGAGGTAACTGTAGCCTGCCGCATCCGGGCTTCAATGCACAACACCGACAAAGTCCAACCTCGCCTTGAGAGAGAGACAAGGGAGAAAGAAGGTGTTAGCATGGGGGGTCGGAGCTAGTTCTTCTCTACTCCTGTAAATTGATCGCCGGCTGTTAGCCCGGATATTTCTCTCGACGGGAGTCCTTATCACGCTTCCCCGAGCGAGCCGGGTGGAACCGTCGCTAGCCTGCTGATTGAGTTTCAATACCCACCGGTATCGTGCCCTATGCATAGGGATTCCGCACAAAATGACAAACTCTATAGGCTAGCCGCAGATACCGCCAGCAGCATCAACCGCTAATGCAAGGCTTCGTTAACGGTACCGGTAGTAGCTTTTGGTATCGTGATATCGAGGATATGGATGCTCCTCTTACTGTAGCTTCGGTGAGGTCAAACAAGGGGCTCTCCAGGTCTGATTTCTCCACCCCAAAAAAACTTGGTGACACAAATCGTGGTTCAAAATCTGCCGTAACGAACCGCGATTATGTGCACGATGTTAGCCAGTATCCCTCCGAACCATTTGCTAAAGCACTGCGTGTGCGCTGCACACCTTTTATTGCGATTTTGCTGTGCGAGCACTGCACTTTCTCAACAAGACCGCATAAGAGCACTCTCCCGCATAAGTAAGTCACAAGGCTACCCGAAAATAGCGTTGTTGGTATCCTCTGAATGCCCATAACACGCTTGGGCTTACCGATTGTCGACTCTTGTTCCAAAATTATTAGCTAATACCCCTGATGAAATGGAAGACTGGAGGATATGAAATATCGCTATCGCGTGGTCGACTTGACATTTGTAGTGCGGGGCTCCGCAAATCCTGGCATACATCTGAAAGCCTTGCCAATTGACTCCGAAGCCGCTATTTCCGATCCGGGATCTAATTGCTTTCTAGCCTTTCCGGTTGAGCGGAAGTTATATTGCCAGCTCAGATATGACCTCCTAATTCGCGCTGCGCTGGGGGGGGGTCGGTCTTGCGTACGTGGTAAGATGAGCAAGTCCTCGCAGCCAGGAATCATTCGGTTGTCCTGTGGAAACCCCGTTCGTAGCATTCACTTTTTTATCTGCGAAAAGCGGTGTGAAACGCAAACCATCTTTGATTCGAAAAGCTAGTAGTGTACTCGTAAACAAAAAAGCATATCACCCCAGACCGTCCCCTCGGACCTCATTCCCAGTGCTGATAGTTTGCAAGCTAGCATGGCCGGACTCAGGTATCCACCTCCACCTCCGTCCCAGACAAACAATACCCAATCTATGGGTTCCTAGATTCAGAACAAATGGGAGGTAGTTCTGGAGGATGGCTCCCAGCGGCAGGGCCCCTCGCCCGGCGGCACTCTAGAACCCATCGTATTTATGCTAGGGCCTGGTTCGGTTTATGTAACCATTTAGTACAAGACGTCTTGCTTCTATAGTTAGTGGAAGTTGCATACTAAAACGAGTGACCTAGTTTGGGCTTGGGAGAAAGGTTCCTACCTTCCGCTAAGCTCGTAGCTTGAATTTTGATCCATAGGAATATCTGTAGTTTTCGTGTGCAGAGCGCCTACCCACTGCACACCTAAATCGTACAGATGACGGGCCCGTGGCTTCGTTGGCCGTACCAGTTTCCGGACGTGAGTGGGGTTTTTGTTCCTATCGAGCTCTTCTTCCTGATAAACTGTAGCCTCACGAACCCTATTACCTAGAGAGATGGAGCGAATACCCCTCTGGAATTTCGTATGACATGAAACAAACCTTGCTCATAAAATTAAAGGTGAAATATCTTCCATTATCTATGACACCAACCATTTTTTGATCCCTATTAGAAAATCAAGAAAAAAAGCCACTTTAAAGGTGGGAGAAACAAACTGTTTGAATATTCCAGAACTCATTGATGTCACTAGCCCCATGAAACCAGCGAAAACTCCAGCTCCCTTCCCCATATACCGATGAAGGGCAAAAAGGAGGATAGAAGATAAAAGTACAAACCACCCACAATTGGAAACCCGGAGAAGCGAGAAAGCGATAGGAAAAAAAGAATAGAGATTACAGGAATATCTAAACCGTGACTACCTTTTGGAAGAAAGAAAAAATGCTCAAGGGAAAGAAAGCAGAACGTAAAATGTATGGTATATGCACCGTTGTCGCCGGACAGATCACAAGAGGAAGGAAAATAAAAAGCCAGTAACACCCCATTTTCGCCAACTAGTAAGGAATATGTAAGGAATGAAGCGAGTAAAAATGAAATGTTAAAACCAAGGGTACTGCAAAAAGGGAACCTCGGAAAAGATTTGAGTGTAAAATTATCCCAAATACTTGCTTCCAGTATCTTCAACCTCCCAACCCCTAAAGGGTCCTCGCAGTCGGAGCACACCTTTTTCTACGGTTAATTTCAACGCGCCCCCCGCCGTTCTGCCCATGTCCGATAGCATAAAATACGCTTTCTTCCCAGAGCAGGTTCCCCACCAGAGAGCCCTCCTGCTCACCCCAACCCTTAACACTTTCGAGTGGACCTCCATCACTCCGGCCGCCGGCAGCACCGTAAAGGGTATTACCGTTGTTGCCCATACTACTAGATTTTTCCGCCGAGAGTCGTTGAGAAGCTCTGAAGCCCCATTTACGACGTCTCTCCCTCTCTTGAATGATTGCCTTAACATCGTCGTACCGCTTCTTCATACTCTGGCTCCTCATACCGAAATTCTCATGTTCAACGATCAATTTTAGGATGTTGAACGGTACACTCAAGATAATGGTAGAGTAGATCTCCGCCACTTGCGATTCTGGATGTGGGGTTGGATTGGAAGTTGCTTTCGGGAGTTGACTGAGTTCCTTAGGGAACCGACAGAGCTTTTGGCTTGGAGGGGCGTTGCGGTCTAGCCTGAAGTTGAGAGGGAAAGACTGAACCAAGAACTCGATGGCGTCCGTAAATAGTTGGCTCTTCAAATCCTTGTAAGCACCGTCTCCATTTCCTACTATCTCTGACTCATCCAGGATAAACACTAGAAGTCTCTCTACCGCGCCCCCTTGAAGCTGCATCCCCCAGTTTCTAATTCCCCAATTTGCTTTCTGAATGACTCCCGGTATTCCCAGCAGGTGGCCTGCCGCAAACAATTCAATGCTTCTCTCCAACATCCTAACCTCCTCATTCATAGCCGAGCCACCTGGCCGACCGCCGCTACCAGGTGAAGTGTTGTCGGTAAGGTCGGCAGACGTTCTCGCTGCATTGGAACTTCCACGGGTCCATTCAAGCGTCCTATGCTGTGGATGCGTAGGATCGAGGAATGCACCAAGTTCCCAATCTGAGGCACCATACAGGCTCCTTAAGGCAAGGAGGAAGCTGTCTTCACTCACGGGCTCGTTGTTAGTCTCAAGCGACAATGTGAGCTTACCGTCTAACAGGCGATGACTTCTGAATTCGGATCTATCTTGAGTCTCATTCCCATGTTCCATCTCGTCAGCCCAAGAGGTCTTTGGGGATATCCGATTATACCCGGCAGAAGATTCTATGATATCGGCCTTCTGGAGCGAAATCTGGAGTAAGTCATGTAACTTGGTTGATCTTGCTAGGATGAACGAGTGTGCATTGTACTGCCGAACTACTGGGCCAGAGCTCTCCATCTCCTTTACGACCAGAATGACATCCGCGAGATTTTTATTCAAAAAATATCCAAGGGTATACGACTGGAGCCGTTCGGCTGCTTCGGTATTTTCCGAAGCAAAACCCTCGCTACGGACATGTAATTTATCACACTCATGTTGTGTAAAGTTTCTTTTCTCCGGCTGGCGGGCTGTGTGACCCGGTTCATGACGAATAGGAGTGTGAGAGCTTTGGTCGTGAGGCTGTTCGCCATCATTCCCACCAATATCAGCACCATCGTCGGAATCGGACGGGGCAATGAACGATATAGTTCGAAGACGAGGATTAAAGTCACAGATGCTGGATTGTCTTGACTTGGCTACCTGCGATCTGGCGAAAGCACTGCTGTCCTGCGGGTGATCGCGACGAAGAGTCTGCGCAGTAGATTGGGCCAAAGGAGAATAAGAAAGCTGAGGACCGTGAGAGAGCCCTGGGGGCAAGCCAAAGGGATGAGTGGGTGTAAATGGTGTTTGCGGATTTGTACTACTTCCAACTTCCGAGGTATGGCCGGAGGTCTCCATTGTTCCCTGAGTCTGGAAAGGAGGCATTGGAGGTAACAATGATCCTGTATTTGGAGGCGTGATGCTTCCCGGAAAAGGGTACTGTGCGGGATAAAACATCTGGGGTTGGTTTTGAGCATGTAGGAAAAAATGAGGATGATGAGGAATTGGCCCAGTAGAGTGCGGAGGTCCAAAGGATGGATATTGCGAACCAGGTGGTGGTATATCATGGCTAGCGAGTTGATGAAAATGTCTGTTAGGGTGAAAACTATTCGTCTGTGCACCTTCGTGAAATTGGGGTGGCTGATTGGGGGAAAACCTTGAGTGTTGAGAAAAAGCCTGATCAGGAATATCCGATTTGTGGCCGTTTGAAAATAGGAACTCAGACCGCCCACCATTCGGAATTGGTCCATGCTCGACTTCGGCCTGAGGGGAACCCTCATTTTCGGTTTGGGTGGTCTGACCGTTCGATTCAATAACTGAGCCAGGAAGCGCGGTCTGTTGAGATGGAGATTGCGGAGGTAAGGTTACCAAGGACGATCCTAGTGGGAAATATGCTGCGGACTGCTCTGGAGAAAAAGAGGCCCCGGTGGCAGTAGGAGGAGTTTGTATCCGTTGCACGCCATCAGACGGCGACATAATACGCGACTGTGATGTAGCCAACTCGTTGCGACCAACGGTAGGAGGTGATGGGTCGGGCTCTATGTTAACAGGCTGATAAGGTCTCTTGGGCGCCGAATATTCCTCCTCTTCTCTGCCTCCAGCCAAGACGATGGCAGCTGTCTCCCTCGGTAGCGGCGTTCCAGGGATACCAGGTTTCAAGGGAAGACTAGCGTGTCCTTGGAGCCCTGCCGGAGGAGGAGTCGAGCCTGTACTCGCGCCACGGCCAATGCCTTGTGCAGGAAACTTCTTCGGTCTAGGGGCCATCGGAAGGGCTGGGGGAACAGCAGCACTAATTGATCTACGGACAGGAGTCTGGGCAGGTGGGGGTCTAGGGGGGAGTGATGCCGGGAGAGTTGAACCCGAAGGGGGAGGGGGCTTGGGAGGGGTCGGAGGAAGCTTTTCCATGATGAGGCTCCTACAATTCTCGGATGAATATTCGTTGGCGAAATGGTGAAGAAAAGGAGGAGGGAAAGAAATTTCACAACTAACCGAAACAAACCTAGCAGCGAGCAATGCTGGGTTTAGCGACGCCTACGGCAAGTAGGCTGGAGACAAGCTTTAGTGACGATGATAGGAGGTGGTGTTGATATCGATAAGGGAAGTGGTGGTTGAGAGGAAGGGAGGGGAGAGGTTGGAGAGAGCTGTGACGAGGCTTGAGGAGGGGCTTCTGGGTTTAGGGAAATGGCCTTGGGGTTGTTGGTTGCAGACAGAAAGGGAAAAAAAGAAAAAATGGCCAAAGTATTACACAGTGGATTTTTGCACCCTTAAGAGAAAATCGAGCCCCGAAACCGAGAACTATGTTCGACCATGAATATTCTCACTCTTAAGCACTCGAGTAAACTGTAAATACTGTCAGTGTTTCCCGCTTGTTTCCCCATTCTCTCTCTCTTAATTAACTTAAAGTGGATTGACGTTGGGTAAGGTTTCGCTCAAGTCAAGCCTCTTGGTTAGCCTTGATGATATCATGCCAAGACACTGTCGGCCTTACACCAATAAAGCAGCCACTCTGTCAGGACCCCAGAGTACAGTACGATCGTACAAATACTCGAGTACAGTCTGATACAACGACCGTATTCGTTTACCTTGTGATGGGTTTTTGCTATCAGCATATTGCCTGACTCCCGTTGAAGAATTACCCGTTCAAGTTCAGTGCTGGCCTTTCTCATACTTCGGTATGGGTTTGGCTCCACAGTTTGGTCGAGGGTTTTCTCTCAGTCTGGCATAGATTGTTGGTTTAGCAGATGTATTGGGCGGTTCCGTACTCTCAAACGCCCCCGCTGCTGTTTTAGTTCAGTTGGAGTTGTCACTCACCACGCCAGGGACTGGCAAAAAAAACCCCTCGAATTGCACTGATCCTACAGAACCGCGATCAAACCCCGCGCGGAAGGGTGGTGAAACTTGCAAAAAAATGCACCTACGATGGAAGGAACAAGACTTTCTACAGCCAACGCCAGGGAGGTAGAGCTCATAGCACGCGAGGATGATCAAGCACCGACTGGGCTTAATAAGGATATTATTTCACGAATTACAGTCATTGGATGCCTGGGGGGTCTAATAGAACCTCACTATTCATCACTCGGTTCGGGGCCATCTCCTGAAACCCTGGGCGGGGAGTATTCAAAATACAAACCATTGTACTGTACTTCCACCTCAGATTGTATTCATGCAGAGGAGTCGTATGTCGTTATGCTGACGGATTCCGTCAAATACATCTCCCGACGAATTCAACTTCCGCCATGGCTAGCCAGCTGAGGACAATTCAAAAATTCTACAGTATCATACATCCTTCCATCCGCACTTCCCTTCCAGCTTTTGAAGTTACCATAATTCAAGACCGGGATCACCCCTCCCCCCCCTATGGAGAGAGGCTGGCGCTCAACCCCCTCTCTTAACTCCGAAGCCTTGCATATTATTTTACTGCACAATGCTTTACTCACCTCGCCGGAATTAGTTGCGGGCCACTTGGTTCAACCCCGGCGGGAACCCACGAGATATATATCAGACCATGTGACCCATGACTAATTCCAGCGACGTGAGCACTCGACTACCGTACCGTAGTCTGCAAGGCTGGCGATAAAAAAGACCAGCAGAGTGGCATGTAACGACCCAAACCATGCTACTTCTACCGCTTCGATTTCCTCTCAATGCGTTCTAAAGCTGTAAAAGAGAAGTCGAAAATTTGACAACGTAACTAGTCCAAACCTCGTACAAGTATCTCCCCAGGAAGCTACTGATTATTAAGGAATTCTCGACTACTTTAGCAAACAATACCGTGAGGTTGAAGTTTAAAAAAGCGCCAAGCCAATCAATTCTCCATACAAAATCCTCAGAAAACGCGCCAAGACTAATGTACTGTACCAACTATCGTTCCCTTGACGGTTCCTCAGCCGCATTAGATACAGAGTTCCAAGGGGCCGGAAAGGAAAATCCAGGGAATATTTCCACACACGAGCAAACTTTTGACCCCGATTGCTTCGCTGGATCAGTGGTTGGCAGGTTGTGAACATTGCAGTTTTCAGTGGAAAAAACCCTTGCACTGCTCATCTTTTGTTGACTCCAGCCTCGTATGGTAATCTACAGTCCTGCTCACCAGGAGTTTCTAAGATACGGGAGCACCGGCGCCAAGGATCCGTATTCCTCTGGTGGGCCTTGGCATTAAGGTGACCGGATACTAATGGAATTCGCGAGTTAGATTAGGGCGGTGGCGGAGGTCCGGGTGTTTGACTTGGCCCGTGGTGATGTTGCCCCCCACTGAACTAGGCTAAAATAGCTAGTCTCGGGCGTTTATATTAGGTTCCGGAGGAGTGGGATTTCCTCACTTATACGCCATGATATTGCGCAAGAAGGTCTGAATTAGAGTTGTATCACAATGGTCGGCCTTGTTCCCCTTTCTTTGATGAGTGAAGCTCTGGTGGTTGACTCCTCTTTTGCTGCAACACTATCCAAGACCATCTTTACCACGATTACCAAGACCGCACAGCGAACTCACCTGGCTGTTATTACCTCCGCTCTAAATGGAACAAGAGCATCTTTTGCGGACTGTCTCTGTGATCCGTACGGGGTGGTGTAAGGTCTTGGGATCAGTTTTGTGAAGTTCACCGGGCCGGGCTTTCCCTCAGCCTCTGGTTTGGCTGGTATTTATTTGGGCCCAGTGCTAAGTTACTAGCCAGATAAGCCTAGCCCAGTCATATGCTAGGACGCAGTAGGCCGAAGAGAAAAACAGACTCATGCCGTTGGCCAACTTGGATATGTATGAGAAGCGAATCAGATTATGGAAGACCTGTTTCCCAAGGCCGATAGCTAGCTAGATAAAATAGGGGAAGCAGTGTACTATGTTACAGGGGGAAGGGAAGACAGATTCAGTGTGCGTAGTCTTACTATTAATGCGCCGTACTCGCAGGAAAATCCAGACAAAGAGAAGAAATAGGAAGGAAAAATAAAGGTCAAAAAAAAACCCGATGACAATAAACACAGGAGAACTAGAAATACCCTGCTTTCCAAAGACGCCAAACGAGCTAACGCCAACTATATTCGCAAAAGGAATCAACCCGTTTTATCTATCCCAAAGCCCCCCAGCCAAATATTCACCAACAAAGTTCCAAGCCGTACTTGTGTGCCACTCCAAACACTCACTCCCCTACGCTGTGCTCCGGGATTTTGCTAGGACCTAGTGGCTTGTTATGGACTAATCGGTGGTGCTGACGCATGTTATCTCTTCGAGAGAAGCCCTTCGTTCCCTTTCGTGTACAGCTTGGAAACGGGCAGTCATATTGCGGCTTCCCGTGGGCATCTCGGTAGTGCCGCTGGAGCTTGTGGAGATGACTGAAGATCTTACTGCAGTCTGGTTTTAGGCAAGGGTGTTGCTCTCTCTCCTCGGGTGAACCGCCCGGGACGGGTGATCTAGGGCTGGGTTAGTTGAAAGAAGTGATCGTCCGGACATCTCGAAAAACCCACCTTGCCGGGCTTGAAGATGGCGAGTCTGGTTGATGCTGGCGGCAGTGCCCCGAGTTGAGAGAATGGCCCTGGCCGAGAGCCCGAGGGTCTTCGTGCGGGCTAATGGTAAAACTTGTGTTTAGGTGTTGGAGGGGCGGCCGGTTTGGGCCAAAATGTTGGCTTTGGCTGGAGGCGTTTGTAGGACACATGGGTGGAGATAGTAACGCGGCGGCCGGGTTTGGTGCCAGTACTCCTCCTGAATTATCCACTGTTGTGAACCAAGGATAGGCGGTTGGAGTGATGTTGTAGAGGAGGTTTGGAGAGGGCGACACGAGCATTGATCCTGTCCGGAGGTTCACTCAACGTGCGCTGCGCGTAGATATGATGGCTGTTTGTGTGGGAAGAGGGGCGAAGGGGGGGTCATGTTATACTTTAATACTTATTTCACAAAAGAGCTAAGGGTCCACAGTACCACCCCAATAGCTACCGGGTTGGCAACTCTAATCTAAGTTCAAATAGGCTCATGCAAAGCCGTTTACGAAATACTTTTTGCGTATGCTGATTAGGGAGTAATTCCGGCTTGTTCCTTGGGAGGGCGAGGAGGGCTACGCTAGCCTTTTGTCGCAACTAATATGGCATTGTAGATAGAAGCCTCTTTCAAGTTTCGCTTTTGCTGCCTTGGCTTCCCTCGGCGTAAGGACATTCGCCACATCCAGGTACAGTACCGCACCACACCAAATCTGGATACGCCTTCATAGCCCCTCTATCTAGCGTCGCTCAGTACTATCATACGGTGCATGCACCAAGACAGTGATTCAAAGGTGCAAGTACTGTACCAGTAATACAACATACTACCAGTTTAACAAGTGGGAGACTGGCTAACAATTTCCCCTCCCCGAACCATTTTTCGACCACGAAACCAATAACAACACTCCGAAAATGATGTAGTGTGTGATTCACGACATGATGGCTAAAGCAAGTCTAGATAAAACATATTTTTCAAAGCTTCTGTCAGTTTTGGGCTTTGCGTCCTGCAGCCCCGATGCCCATTGATCCTTTTTTTTTAGTGCCGTGACAAAGGGAGGGGGGGTGAACCAGAAAGTTATCGATTGGAGCCACTGAATACTGCACCAGAATGCCAAACGTGGGGTCATGACATGGGGCACAAGAGTGAGAACGTGATCCTTAGTATACGTATACCAAGCCTTTCAGCCCACGCATTACCGGTATTATCTCTCATCAAAGTCCAGGTCTATTAAAGCTACGATAAGAAGTGTGCCCGTGGGGACAGATGCGTGGGGTCCTGCAGCCACAGCAAGATGGTTTCACTGCTTGAGTACCGGCTGTTGGAGCGCACAAGCGCGGGATCTCCTGTATCGGCCGAAATTTTATTTGATACGCCACGGTGGTCTAATCCGTAAGTTACTCGCAATTGCTATATAACCCTTGTGTTGGTTATTTACCCGGGAATTTTTGTTCAAGCCGGGCAATTGAGTACTGTACCGGTGTTTTGGTTGGGACGGCTTTTTATTGGAGGAAACAGATGCATTTGCATGGATGGCAGAGCCAGGAACTCACCCCGCGTTAACACCACCATTACTTCCAAGTATCCCAATATTCCCCCAAGAATTCGCCAGTGTGGGAACCGGAGCATGGGCAGGAAATACTAACTAATCGCGGTCTAGCCGGGGGGAGAGGGTTGTGCGATGGGAAATATCCTCTTCGGCGCTCCGTAGGAACCAGTTCGCTTACCTCGTAATTCAGCTTCTACGAGTGATGAGTGATGACGACCAAAAAAGAAAAATAGGTGTTGGAAAAGAGACAGTACCGGTAATGTGGCATGACAAACCCCCCGACATCAGATGGACTCCGGATCTCGTAATCCGCCAACGCAGATTCTAAGTGCGCGCAGGGGGGCGCATGAAAAAGTAACTCTAAACTGATGAACGGGAAGCTCGGAAGAAATCGAACTTTTGCTATTTAGCCACTCTGTACTGGACGCCAATTCAATCAGCCAGCCCACAGAATGACGGACCACTGGGACCGAGCTTCTAATCCCCAGTCGAGACAGGACTTGCGACTTGGGCGCCATCGATGGGCCATCATATTTTTGTCGTTTGAGGATCGGACAAGTAAGTTCGTTCTGCGCTCCTTGGGGTTTCGTCACAAAAGAGAAGAAAGAAAAGCAAAAAAGAAAAAAGAAAAGGAAAAAAGAAAAAGAAAAAAAAAACAAAGGAAAAGGGTAGCACTATGCGCACGACGCCCCAACGGGCACCGCTTCTTCTTGCAGCTAGGCTTCCACAAGAGGTCCTCATCAAGCGCTAGGAACTATACGAGTATGGGAATTAAGCTCCACCGAGGGACGTATTTGGGGCTGATGCGGTCCGGACGTGCGCTCTAGTGACACATTGCAGCTATCGCAGCTTTACTATCGGTAGGAAGAAGCATAGGAGAGAGAGAGAGACCCTTGTATATATCTCTGGGTGAATCGCTGTGTATTGTGGAGACCAATACAGGCCTCCTTGTAGCTGGAATGTGAGAGCATGCAATGACTTGACAGGCCATAATTCCACTGATTCAAATAAGAGGTGACTGTGGTTCTGAACATGTGAAAGTGGGGACCTCCAGCGTCCGTAAACCAGGATACATTTCCACATCGATAGATGGACACAAATGGCGTGCTATCATGAGAATAATACGAAGCAGATGGTGGAGAGACGTCTGTATCAGCGATTGATTTGCGTTCGTGGCCAAGTTTTTTCCGGGTAGTGCTGCCACTGATCTTGGAAATGGCTCTTGTTTATTATTACCAATGCTTGTTTCGGGATCAACCACTTGGTGTTCTCTATGCCAGCTGCTTTGTGTTTCCATACCAGCAGTCCATAAACAACTCACTACTCTCAGGGGGCGTCCGAGAGGGGACACTGTTTGCAAGATGCCACCCTCAACATGAGCTCGAATGGGTACTCGCTAGCTCAGGGACTTCGTGTTAAAATTGCCTGTCTATATCACCTCATCTCTAGCTCTCCAAACACGAGCATTATCACCCATCGGAAGGGAATTTTTTGTGAAAACTACCACATGGAGATATTTTCCAGAACGCCGATCAATTAAAAAAGGGTTAGCTTAACTAACAAACGAGCCGATGATGACCAATTCCAACGAGAACCTACTCTCGGATTACGATAGTGAACCTGGCATTACTCAGCATTCTTCGGTTGGGATCTCGTGCATCCCCGAGGTTTACAGATGCACCGATTCTTCCTTGAAGGGTACGGTATTGCAGAAAAGAAGGCTTCCAATGAGGCTCTAAGCCGCCATTAGATTCAACCAGTTGTTATCGAGCGGGTCGAGGCCCTCCCGTGATGCGGTCCAAGCTCCATGACCATTGCCAACATAAGGGTTGCCGCCGGATCCACGGTACAGTAGCATTCTCTTCCTCCCTATCATACCTTAATAACTCCGCCATGACAACCTTACAACCCTCAGCCGACAACCCATATTTACCCACTAACTGAATCATTGTGCGCAATGCTACACGCGGATCGAGGGTAGGATAGCCCTTGGGCGTCTGAGTTAGGAAAATAACCTTGACTAGACGCGCAAGTCCGGATCAATAAATAGCGAGCTATTTCAGGTTAACTTATGAATTTGATTCTCTCAATGTTCAGGTGACTCATCGCTCAAGGATATTATTAATTGCAAATAGATCACAATACTCGGATGCAAAACAGGAGTGGCACGCATGGTGGCAAAGCTTATGGTTTTAGGCTGCCCTGGGGTTACCGTTTGACTACTCGAGTAACGTAGCTACTCGTAGTAGGCAAAAGTATTCGATAGGGGTCGATTACTGCGGCCGCTCAGACACGCACAAGTTTCTCGTCATATATCTTGCGAATGCGAGTTATCGGGTACCTGTTGGTTGCCAGTAAGAGTACCACGAGTCGGCGCTGTATTCCCGCGTTGTTTTGACACCCCCAGCTTTGTTCCAAGGGGAGCGCCTCAGATCCGCCGCGTTACCATCCAAGTAACTCCACCGGTGCGTATCCAGTCAGGCGTCTCGACCTCCCTTCGTCGAGGCGTAACTGGTGCACCACCCGCCACAGCCTTGCATCTACAAGTTGGAAAAAGTAGAACCAACCGGAACCTCTTTACCTATTCGAAAATTCTAATTTCTGGCTTGAGATTTCTCCTTTCTGGACACCCACTATGATAATCTGTACGGGGACTAATGTAGTGGCAACTTGCAGGTTGGGAGAGAAAAATAAGTGCCGATTGAGCCCCATTGTTCCTTCCAGATTCCTCCCAGGTATCACGCTGAATACGGCAAGCCACCATCAGCAACCTACAAGAAAAAGCCACAGGATGTTGGCCTTCTATTTCCAGGTACCATCCGTCCGAGGCTGGTAAGCTCGACCCCTATCAACTTTTTTAAACGGGTTAATAAAGCCGCTCGAGATGGCTAGTGGGTTTTAGGCACACACGCACAGCATTGGAAACGTGTGCAAGCGCAGGGGTGGAAAGGATCGCGTTTGCGGTGACTGTTTGGCACAATAAGCGCAGTGGCCCGGTGGACTGGTCAGGACCCACTCAACATCTTGGCAGGATTCTTGAAAGACGAACTGGTGTGGAAAAAAGGAGGGCGCTTTTTTTTACTGGACTCACGATAAAAACTTGTTAAATCCACAATCGGATTGCCTACCGTATAACAGCACAGACCACTGCAAGATGGTACTGTATGTACAAGTGCTGGAGCACAGTCAGCCCAGCAGAGTACCATAGGTTAGATTCCAAACCCCGGTTAACCGGGTCCGAGCATCTTCAGCCTGTAATACCCTAACGATACCCCATCTAGAGAAAACCACAGTACGGTAGCGGTATTCCTTCTCGAGGCGTTTTTTTTTTTCTCTGATCGTGGAGGTATTCCAAGGCCCCCGTCGGATCAGGCCACACAAGCGATTGCTCAGCATAACACATAACAGGGCCACCATACCGGGCACGAGATATGATGGTCATGTACGTGGTGACTTCCTAGCGCCGCACGCGAGCATCTCGCCCATCATACTTGTACCGGTATCCGGAAATTCTCCCTCACTCCCCTTTGGGGACATCTGGCGAGATGCTAATGACCAAAGGGACCACGGGGGAGGAATCGAAGCGCTTCTCAGCCCCAATCCGGGCAGGGCTCAGCTCGCTTAAGTTTCGTCTGGGCCGCCAACTCTTGATAGGCGCTAGGACAAATGGGTGCACTTGTCTGGTTCCATGGAGCGGTTTTGGGACCAGCCGTCTTCACAGCCACTACAGTCGGAAGTCGTGGTAACGCGCTGAAATGACGCAAAGTCTATAGGAATACCAGAACGGACTGAAAGCTGGAGCGAGTCGTCTCCCTGTTTACAAGGAATCACAGCCGGACGATCGCGCCGACGCCGTATGCATTTGAGAATTTTTTTTTTTCTTCTCTCGGACGATGGACGTTTGGGATCAGACGTTTATGCCTGTAACCCCCCTTCTTTCCAATTGTTCGCAGCGCCGAGGGCCTCGATCTCCAAAATACAATACGGTGGCCGGTATGAGGGCCTCCATAGCCGGCTTTTGTCTGAAATCCCCCCGTCGCGCCCTTGGCATGCTTCCATACCGTCCTGTTATCTCCCAGCGAAGACGCTGATTCAGGAGGTACGGTGCGGTACTTGTCCCAAGCAGCCAGTACCCGGAAACAGTGACTGGCAAAAATATATCGCAAAAAAGAAAAAAGAACCCCCCCACGCCCATATCTGAGGGCCCATACAATTCCGCGATCCCTATTTCCGGGTACTGTGCTTATTTTCCTGGGACAAGTGGGGATAGGTGCTCCGGAGGCGAACATGGCTTTTCGTAATATAGCAAGGTTAACCTACCGGCAAGTTTCAGCTGAATTTTTTGGGAAGTCTCTTTCCGATCGCCAGCTGTGACTTTTAATATCCGAGCTTGGATAGGAATCTTTGTACCGTGGCCCGCATGAGAGGATCTGGAGGACCAGTTCCCCCTAAGCTGAGCATACCGGGGCAACTGTCCTCCCCTAGCATTCCCCATTATCTTATAAGGCGGGGGAAGGTGATTATAGAGACTTGGCAGGGCGAACTCGAGGGATTATTGGCTTAGCCTATCATACAATGGGAGACTCAGCGCCCACATCTCTTCCCCACACACTAAGATTCCAGGAACGATATCTCCTCCTTACCCTATGTTAGCACTTTTTTTCCCCTCCCCTTTTTACTTCTCTCCCCTGCTCCATAAAGCCTTTTCCCTCCTCCGCCAACCGAATATCAAGGAAAAACACAATGCTACGAATCCCAAGACAAGTTGATAGAGCGATACCGGGGGGTTTGTAATTCACCAATGCAGAATGTCGGTAGGATGAGGCAGACCTACACGATCTCGCGCTAATTCTGGAAATATTTTTTTGCCATTATGTTCATTCATGGGAGTGCATGAGAAACGGGATATGAACTCCTTTTCCCAACCTTCCACGCTCCTCGCTCATACACTTTTATTGTGTCCTGCGCGTAGTATTTCTCGCGAACCGAGCCGGCTCGGGCTTAGCTAGGATTTGGCCCTGGTCTCGACCATAGGATAGATTGGGGGACTTGAATACGGATAGGAAGGGACGTTCATGACTGGGATGAGCGACCTAGAGTGTTCATGGGGAGAGAGTGAATATTAGGGTGACAAAAGAGATATTTTTCTGTTTGTACCTCCGCCCCCCCCCCCCCTCCTATACGATTTTCGTGCCTATAGTTGGTCTTGAGTTCAAAGTTATCAATAGCGCGCTTTTCTACTCTCTTCTCACCACCCTGTTTCTCTCTGCGCTTACGTACCCTCCCGCTCTGCATAAATATTATTCAATGGCTTTCATCGCTTTCCCTCTTATTTGCCAACGTGGGGGTATATGAAGGGACAGTGGATAATCTCTTTTGAAGGGTGGACGTGGAGGGATCGGAGCCGGAATATCTTGCTTGTACTTGAGTGTTGTGGTAGAAAGTTCGGCTAGTTTTCCCTCCTGTTTTATCACCCCCAGCCTTTACCCTATCCCATCATCGATCCTCCAAGTCTAGCGCGTTCTATCGTCACCAATCAAAAACAATTGGACGCGTACGGGAAACAAGGGAAAAAACTTGCCCGGAAATTTCCAACCAGCAAAGACTACAGCTAAGAATATGCATCGTGAATAGTCCTCAGTAGGACGGAAACCGCCTCAATGAATATCATTTAGTCAATACATCACCGCCTGCCCACGGCTTTGAAAAGGAAGGTATTTCACGGAGCCGCCGCAAAACCGAACCAATAAGGCACTTCACGCGTAAGGAGGGATCTCTCCCGTCGCTAGCCGCAGCCGTTCGGTTACTTTCGATAGGTAACAATTACTCCTCGGCCGCCGACTAGAATAAGTAACGAGTGATAGAACGTGATTACTGTCAAACACTTGTCTCTAGCCTGCATCCCGAGCACACAGTAGCCAACTCGAGCTCCCCTACCGTAGCATCCCTGGCTCCATCAGGCCGATCACCTCCACTAACTAGCTCGTAGAAAACACGATTACTAGCAATAACGATCTCCCCCTCATAGAATGCCGCGATTGATGTAGTCCGCAACCCCACTACACACTCCACTCCCTCCCTCCCCCCCCCTCAATCGGCAGAGGCCGCCCCAGCACGAATTATACGCAGAAGCGCCACACAACAAGCCACCAATAACCTCGACAAGAATTCTCCGACTGGCAGGCCGTCAGGAGCCAACCGGCCAAGCCAAACCTCAAGAACTGGAACCAACCGACAACCTAACCGAGGTCCCCCAAGACTCTCTCTCAAACCCCCGGCCGCCGCATGACTCGGAACCCTGCTCCGGCACACGCAAATTGGTCCGACATATACCGTATATCCCCTGCCACCAGGGTCAGCGCATCATGGAGAGCATTGATATTTAGCCTCGATCTGGATAGGCTATAATAACCAATTTCCTCCGGGATTTAACCCTTCCTGTCCCGCTGGCGCAATTCCGGCAGAAATACCCTTGCCGGTTCCCCATCGCATATCGGGAATTTGGGTTTTATTCGCATTTCTACGCGGGTCGCATTGGATAGGTCGCATGGGATATGATGGTCTGTTTGGTGCGCCTTGCCCCTTATGCCAGTCGGTATGATATGAGGCATAAACACCGCCGGTCCCCATGCGACCAGGATGGCCCGGATTCGGTCTGGGGATACGGGGTATCGTGATGCTTTCTGGAAAGAGTGTTTTCTCTAGGGAGTGTATATATAGCGAACGTGCCCACGACTCCAAATCGTGGGATATTCGGCGACTAGACCTCAAACCACTATTAGAGAACACGGTTTGATCCGGGGGTTACCTTTATGCATTGGGAATCGCTGGTTTAGTGCTTTCTGAATAGTTCCCGAATATCATGGCATCGTATTGTTGAAGGAGACACTCCTGCGACGCTTGCCACTATGTATATCTAACTAGAATAGCAGGTTTTAAATAATGATAATACTTTCCAATTATCTGAGTTCAATCCTAATGGGTTAGGAGGGACACACACAAATTCTGTATCTATAGTATGATAAACAAAAGCGATTCCAAATCGTGAGTACGGAGGGGTATCACACGATTTGGAAGTTTATGTCATACCCGTGATTTCAAACCGCGCTTGCCAAATACCCCCACGATTATACAAGTTAGGGTTCGCAACGCCCCCCTCCGGATCTTTCCAGAGCCGGTAAGTATACGGAGGGAGGTATGTCATACCTCCCGGCCTCAGTCCATGGCCAACACCTCGACCGATAACACTATTTCACCATCCTCCCACGTTCGGTTGTGCCTGGCCTACTGTGATTGAGTCCACACCACTTCATCCTTTTGCACTTTCTTTGGGTCTCGTAGGGTACTCCGCGTTCTATAAATGCCACTGTCTCTCAGGGGCGGTGGTGGTAGTACCGCATACACGGCTGATAGATAGTACCAAGAAAAAACATTTTTTGAGACAAGGATTTTAGATTGTTACTATAGCCTACGGTGCGGTTCTGTGAAGAGGGCCGAGTTTTTTTTTGGGGGGGGGGGGAAGGGGGGGAGAAAGCTATCAAGGAATTTTCAGTCAACCTAGGTTTACCAGAGAGAACCCAGGTATCCGCTACCGGTAGCCCAACGAGATCTCCAGTACTAGCGCCATGTCATTTAGTTACGTAGAGAATCCCGCTTGAGCAAGAAGTGATGTCGCAGCTGGAAATTACCTGATAGTGACTAGGGTTAGGGTTTTCTCATTTGTTCAAGAAATGGTGTGGAGTTTTATGATGGATTTAGGGCATATCCAACAGGTGTCAGATTCCCACCGTCATGGGTAAATAATATAACGAACTGGGAAGCATTAACTTCGGTATCAATGACGCATGGAGTATGTAAAACCCCTGGAAAGCATCACGAAAGTCTCAAAAGGGCAGTTTCTCAGTTTGAGCGTATTATACTTGATTAGAAAACATCTCGCAAGTGGTGATGAGTAATAGGGACCAAATTTTGATCATTCGCTACTATCAAGCCTTCGTCAAGTTCCGAGCTCTGTCAACACACTCTAACATAGCTCAACCCTCCCACAAAGCAATTGGAAGCTCCGGGTTAGCGTTCAAGACCAGTCTCTTGACATAGTCGTTGAACCAAGCTCCAGCCTCTGGTGCCGGGGTATCTGACGTTGGGCCCGCGCACCTCTTATCGAAGCGGACAGCTTTCGGGTCACTGGTTCCGTCACTCTCACCACCTGGAAAGATTTAGCATCGTTGCACTGATTGCGAAGGGGATAATTAGGGACGAGCCTGGCTTAACCCAGACAAAAGCGTCAACAAGATCACTACCGGTACAAGTGGTAGGTCTGGTTCCGAACCCAGCATTCTTGATATTACACCACTGACCCCATTCCTGGCGGATGCCTGATTTTCCAGAACGGCCCTGGTCGACAATGAATTTTGCGGGGAAGCCGACGCTCTCGAGATGAGGGGCCAAGTTGTTGACATAGTGAGATTCATCCCAGCTTTTGCTCTTTTGCGTGAAATTGTCACGGGGGTCAGCAATGTATGGGTTGTAGTTGGATACGTTAGTCGCAAGGCCGCGGACCTTGGGTTTAGCGGTTGAGTTTCCTGCTGCCAATTGGAGGACCTCCGCGAAAAGCTTGGCCGCTGGCAAAAGCTTGTCGTCCCATCCCAGCCATCCACAGTGCCCAGCATCGATGTAGAGGTGTACGTTAGGGAATTGCAACCTTGAGATGGCGTATGCGATTCCTTCCTTGTACGCGGTAGCTGCGCCGGCACACTTAGGGACGCCCATATTGGTCACCAGGTTTGCAAGACTGTCGGGTTCGAGAACGATAGCAAAGCTGAGCTCCTCGGCTTTAGAGGTGCAAAGCTCCTCCGCAACGCCTCTATTTTTTTAGGCTAATCCCACACGCTATCCACAAGAGGGCCACTTACTATCGACAAACTGCTTGTATTTGTTGAGTCCATCCTGGGCCAAATTCAATTCGCCGCTGGAAGCCTTCGCAGAGCAATCACGATCAGGGAGGTTGTAGACAACAAGCTCGACAATTTGGGGCTTCCCCAAGCTCTCCTGGAGCTCATAGGCTTCATTTATAAACACCGGGACATTTGCGATCTATTCCTATCAGTAAGGGAAGTATAAAATGGAATGGAGCACCCTACTCACCCCAGAAAAAGAGGTGATCCATCCGAAGGTTCCTGTACGTTGCACAGTCTCTACTCTCGCAGCGTTGACCAAGTCACCCTCTTCGCAGAACGACTTGATGGTCTCCTCGAGCTTAGAGGCGTACATAGAGTTGGCATAGAAGTTCTTTCCCTCAAAGGGATTTTCAGAGGCGGCAGGGGTGGCAGAGGCGGCCAGGAGGACTATAAGGACAAGAAGCGGATTGTAGAGCATTGCAAAGACGGTGGATGGCAGAAGAGTCTGTGGTGAGAGGGAAAGGGAAACTACAAGGAGGAGTCTCAGGGTTTTATATCTAGCTACACACCCCTCCAGATCGACCAGCGGCGCAAATTGCTTTATTCTCTAATACGGGCGCAGTAGGCACCTCTTGGCTTAATCAAACTCACGGCTTTCGGGCCGCTCTCGAGCTGGAGAGGAACAATAGTCATACAAACCCCTTCGATCCCCTGTTGTACAGTACCTACATGCACTAGAGACTAGCCGGTTTTCCCGAGAGAATAGGCGGATGGGGCAGGACTAACCCGTCCGCCGCTATCAGCCAAAGACCTAGGCAGATATTCGAGATAAATAACGAGATGCTTTAATTCTCCCCAACCGAGCTCTTTGAGGAATTAGAGTACTTGGAAACGTGGGATTCGCTATTTCTTCCTTCTCGCCCTCACGAGGATAAGGGCAGAGGAAGCAGTCCTCTCTCAACCTAGCCCGGCTAGAGCATTGATGGTTAAGAACGCTCCCTCCGTTAAATTTAAAGACCTTTGGGCTCTGTTTTGGAATGCTGTTTTTTTTGCTGCACAACAGTAACACCTTCGATCCAAACTTTGGTACCATAATAAAAAAAAACCCCCACTCAGGGGGGGAGCGTCTCCCGTAATTAGAAATACCACACTATATCTGAATTCCCTTGATAGATTCACATTGCAACATTTGTCAAACACCCTAGAACTAAGTTCGTGACAAAAAAGATAGAAAACAACTGCAGTCTCACCTCGCTATGTCGGACAGCCAAAAGAAAAAAAAACAACCCGTCCAGTACAGTGCACCAGGCTATCCGGGGCAGCGGAACGATTTCGGCGAGGATAGATTTGGAATTCACGGGATTTCACACGGGACCGCGAGGTTTGACAGCACTAGGGCAGAGCAAGATCATAATGCAATTTACGCTCACTATTTTCAAGTTGACTTGTTCACAGATTCGACCCCCTCACAGATACAGATTGGGAGCAAGCTCAGACTAATTCCAATCTTGAATCTTGATTGTACTAGTACAGTACAACAACTGTCAGTAATATTAGTAATATTGGAAGAAGGCGTAATAGCCATCACTTTTAATCTGTTATTATATCATTTTCCTAGTTAGTATCACAAGGGGGTAGTCTATTATTCTTCCAGAAGGTGGGATATATGGGGATATTCTATGGAATTAAGATGTAAAAACGGTAGCGCTAGCGGTAATACAGTAATAACCTTTTTTTTTCTATAGTCATAAATTATGATACAACAGGAATAGGGCAGCAATTCCCTTTTATATCATCACAAATTTGTTGTATGGAAACCCAAGCAAACACTTAGCATACATGCCATTTTCCACTTATATTGCAGAAATTTTATTTCAGATATGCCTGAACAGAGCCTTGCTTGCTTGCTTACCTGCTCTTCTAGGACCTATTACCGTACTCGTGCCCAACAGCAAAATAGTCGCAGTAGCCGCATAACCGAGCTCCTCCCCTATACCTATGACCGTATCTTCTTTGAATATGTACGATAGGACGTTGCGGTTGCCCCCCCTAGTAAGGCGCAGTGAATATTCCTCCTGTTGGTCATCTGAGAACATTCAACAAGATATATTACAAGTATCGCACCTGAATTTGTGGTGTTTTCCCTTGCACAGCCGAGAAGCGGAGTTCCAACCTTCTAGCTCATTTTTCTTCCACACAATTGGAATCCTTACGGCACTGAAGCAGTTAATAATGATTTATCGCAGCGAGGCTCAAGTCTCCAGCTACAATTGGACCAGCACAGTACTGTACGGTAACTCTGTCCTCCCGCTCAGTGCTGCAATGGACCCCAGGCAAGACCTCAAATCCACACTTCAAGCCCCCAATTACCGTTGTCACAACTATTATTCGGGAACATGGTTGAACAAAAAAACTTCACATTTCCCATTCAACTCGAGCATTACGAGGGTTTTCATAGTTTGGGATTGTGAAAGTACAGTAGCCTAAGCCTTTTGGACAGCGCAAGATATCCCTAACCCTGTGGATCTTGGTGTTTAGGGAGAGTTCATGGGATGCTCCAGGACCATAGGTCAATTGCATATGTCTAGTAATAGGCGGAGAAGCTGAAAGAAATTTATTCCCATGGAAGTAAAATAAGGCTGGAATATTACCTTCCATTGAACAACCAGCCGTGAATAGTCTAGCCGCAAAAATCTCCACTCCCGAATAAGGCTCCTTCACAAGTGGGGACCCACATAAGATATTCCCCCACTTCCCTGCGATCCAACGAACCTCCGTCTAGCACCACTCGAATCTAGCCACTTCATCTATCTCTAAAGCTACAGCCATACTAAATTATTGCAGCCAAGATGGAGTATATGCATGTCACGACCGCATAAACCACGGTGAGCCAGGCGTACCACTTGTCCGGGTTACCCCACTGTTGGACCAGGAGTCCGATAGCCAGAAAGGCTGAAGCAAATCCGACGGCGCAGTCCTGAAGATGCATGAATACCGAGCCATATAGGTCAAGAAGGAAAATCGCAAATATTGCAATATCATGGGAGATGCTCTCTTGGCGGGAGAGCTGTTGGCGCTTGGGTTAGAAAACTGGAAAAAATTAATTTACTACCGAAAGGATTATATACGTCGACAGCAATGTTCCAAGGGATCATGTAGACCGTAAGGGTAAGTGGAAGGGAAAGAACAGCGAGCCTATTAATAAACCTAAACTCGCACCTATCATCATAATTAGCCCGGAATCTGTTCAGGAATGATCAATTATTCCCTACAGGCACCGGTAGCTGACTGGCCGAGCCCCTTGACCCCGACAAGTTCCCTCAAGTCGAAGTCTCCCCAGCAAGCTCTCATGATCCATCCCACATCCAATGCAAAGCTGGATAAAATTGAGAAATAAGATTGATTCGCTCCATCCGGAGAGCGAGTGAGCGAAAAGGAAAGCCCAAAGGATGGTAAAGATATTGTGCCTTCACACTTCATTAATCTAGAGGGCTCCGGAAACAGTTGAGGATGACAAACAAGATGAAGGATATCCCCAGGCGAGCAGGCCTTTGACACCCCATTTCCGTGCAGCCTGTGATGTGATTAGTACAGGATTTCCAAGAGGAGTAGATAGAGTTCTTCACATCTCATAGAGGAAAATCCGAGGACGTATTTAGTTTGGAGAAGCATCATGATGCACCAATACAAGATGACGAATCCAGGTTCAATAGTGAACCAAGTTGGATTCTCGTCACTGATATCCTGGCGCATGTTAGTTCTTATAGTAAAGGATAGGGATGCAGGGGCTAACAGAGATTGTTTTGCCTCCGCCAACAGTATAGTAGGTGAGGACGGGAATGACAGTAGATGCAACTAGGAAGGTGAAGTGGGCAAAGATCCTCATCAGAACCTTGTGGATACCATACCCGCCCGGGATGGGATCTGAGGGTCCTAGGTCAGGAAGTGCCGGTCGATAGGGTAGGTGGAGTATAATAGCAATCAAACCCCGTATACAAGTATACTCGATTCAAGAGTGAAGGCACATACCTGGGAGCAAACTGGTATTCTCCGAAGCGTCAGGGCTTGACATGATCCGACTTGGATCGACTGGCAGTGAAGGTTTGGGAGGCGGAGCAAGGGGAAAGAAAGAGGAGATATCGTCCTTGGTCCACGCTACGAGTAGTGGGTAGATAGGGAGATGGTGCGAGGGGAAAGATTTATTCAGGACGAGGGAGAAGATGGGGGGTTTATCCACTGGCGGACAGGGACGCGCGTCTTGTGAGGATATCCAGAACGAAGAGCGCCTCAGTAGGAGCGTGCAGGAGTAAGCAGTGGATGGAATCATTCCCTCCACCTGGCCCAAATTCTTGGGCTGGAAAACACTGCCGACTCTGAAGTCTTGGAGAAAAGAGAAGACCCCATCATGTCGATGCACTCAATATTCCATTCTCGGCGGTTTGCAGTATTATACCTGCGCTATTGATCCTGCTTCCACCAGGGCCATTGAAAGCCGAGGTTCAGCACCTCGACGCCCAAGATTGACCAGGTAGCATATAGGTATCGTAGACAAAACCGTTAGAATGCCATTGGTGGCAGCAGCCAACTGGCATGATGCCGTACTCGTAGAAACACCCGAGTATCATACCATCAAAGTACGGCAGCCTACTCCGTCAACATTCAAGTCACAACATTAAATGGCATGAGTGATCCGAAAGTCCTCATCTAGGGGGCCGACCCAACATAGCCCTCGGAGTATCCACAGCATCTCCCCCGCTTCCCGGGCGATGATAAGAATAATAATAAATTCAATAATAGCACTTCTAGATGGATTTTATAAACTCTTCATATATCAGATGGTTATCCGGATCGCCCCCCACCTTAGCATTCGCTTGTTTCGATGTTGGGATCCTAACCCCAAGTTACTAGCACGATACCAGCCATCCGTAACCATATTCAAACCACTACGACCTACCATGGAAACGCAATGATGCACTACACCCGGCCCAGCACAAGAAGACGAGACCACCTGGGTACTGTGCCACACAGGAGTCCCTCACTCAACCAAATAGGCACACCCTGCTACCATAGCGGGCACCATGCACCTCAACGGGAGTCGAGACCACAGGGTTGCGGCCACAGATACCGATATCCCGACAGGATAACAAGGACTCCAGAACCGGTGAGACCGCTTGTCGAGGAAGCTGTTGGGATTCGCCAGACATTCATGACGAGTGAATCCATCGCGCATCTCTCTCCGGAATAATGGTAGAGCGGGGGGGGCATTTGCCACAGATTGCTCGCCTGCTTTCTCCAAATTCCTGCCAATGCCCTGCTATCACCGGAACGTTTTCATCCCTTCTACTCGCCCACCGCGGTCTGTGGGGTTCGTTTGGTTCCCGGAGATGCTATGTAGCCATCCAGGAAGAGATGCATACCCGCATGCCCCTCCACACCTCCCATCCCCACCAATGGTCTAGTCAAGCATTCTCCGTTCCCAGCGCTGCCCCTTTAGCCCTGCTCTACTAGTAAATCCGAGGTACAAACCCCCCCAAGCGCCTCCTCTCCAATCAGGCTCCCTGACTTGTCACTGCAACTACTGCCCGTGATTCTGGACTCATTTTTTGTGTCACGCCCCAGCTCTTATGCAATCGCGACTGCCCCCACTCCGCTGCGGTTTTCCCTTCTTCCTCGCCATATCTCATGCGAAACCCTATCAGACTCTACACTACAAGGCGGTCCTGAAAGCAGCCGGGACAGTTGGAACGGAAAACCCCTTAAAGAGTGTAAGGGTGAAAGCCCGGGAAATAAAAGTCACTGATACCAAAAAGAGCAAAATACCCTCGAGGATTAGGGCAAGATAAGGTAGAAAACAGAATAATTGTATAATTACTCGTAGAGGATTCCCTCACTGATAATGATAATCATGTGACTGTGTGTGACTGTGTGTGACTGTGTGGTACTGTACTGTACACGCAGGCGTATACTTGTTGAGTTATGATAGAAAGCCCGCATCCGGTAGCGTATTCGCCTCGCAACGGATTTTGCAAGCACAACTCACATCCTGGAAGGAAATGGACTCGCTTACAGGCAGCTCACTCCATCCAAGACCACCAAGTGTTCAGCATTGGTGATTTTGAGGCGTCGGCTATTCTATCACACATGGCTCCTGCAGTAGGTGCTTTGTCTCTGTATCAAATTCACTTTTACCAAGCTGGAGGAATGCGCGCAGCAACTGGACAAAAGTCTTGGTGATTGCTTAGTCAGCAGGATAGCCGAGCCAAGTTGTCATGTTGGAAAATGGCGTGGACAAATTTGAAGACCTATCATGTTACACCAGCACAATGATATCACAATACTACACCCTCCCCCCCCAAAAAAACCCGGGGGCAAGGCATAAGCCGAAAACACTGTGCAAAGAGACAACAGACACTGAAAAGGGCATGATTATTGCCTTTTTCTATATCTTTCAAACCATATCCGCTGTTGCATACCTGGTTGGTTACCCTTCGGCTACCATGTGAAATTTTCTTACCTATGCCTGTGAGCAAGGATGTATGGATAATCAATACTGATCGGGTCAACCACTGCTGCAAAGCTATTGAGAAAAGCAATACATACTACATGCCGTCAAAAGAATCAAGAATTGACCAGATTAAAACTGTGCAACCAATATGTACCACATGTTTTAATTCACGCCATTCATTAAGGCCTCAGAGAAGTCGATATACAGACGTGGCTTACAACTGTGTAACCAAAATTGCAAGCCAAACATATTAAAGCTTGATTGAAATAGAATTTAGCCAGGATGGATTGGACTGCAGAAGACTTTCAAGATACCCTATACAGTAACAAGTATATGGTATACAAATCTGCAGTTCCTCGATACATTTGAATATTTCGATCCCACTAAGGAAAGTAGCTGTCAGACTATATTCAGCTTGAAGAAAAGACTAATAATATCCCATTGAGACATGTGAAAGTATTTTTGAAAAAGTGACAGGATCTGTTGGTCCCAATAGGGAAAGCAACACTACATTGACACGTCTGTACTGTTGTACACGATACCTATATAGTACCTATGATGCAGGAGATCTCTGATGCAGTTGGAAATCCATTGTTACAGTAGGATAATATAAAGATTCATACTGTGCATGACATGATAGCCGGGTTTGAACAGGAGGGAGTTGTTTTGGAAGACGACCCCTTTCTTTGAGGCTCCCCTGATCTTAATCCAGTTGAAAATGCTTGGGTTGAACTCAAATGACCACTCCTTACTGGAGAACTCTTCTGGAAAGCTCCGGAAGTCAATGCCTTCCTAGGCCACTGATACGATAAAAGCTGAGGAATGGTACACAGAGTGATAGGATCCAGGACTGGGTACTCGGCTGTATTCAATATTTTCTCCAACTACAATTTTTAAAATAATTGACACTGTTGTTAGACCGTTCAATTTGCGCAATCGTGATAATCACCTCGCCAATGGGCACGGACTCTGTCTAATATGGCGCAATCACCAGGACTTTTGTCTAGTCGCTGTATCTTTCCCTACCCCCCTTGATTCACCCTCTCAATTCTTCGATACCAAAGAAAAAAAAACGCACCGTGAACACCCATTCCCCGACACCACCGCCCCCAGAGGGCCAGACCCCCTACGACACGCTCCGAGGTAACGACCGCCTACTTGGACCAGACCAACGCGACCAGCGCCGAAACCATTAACACCCTCTAAACTGGCGTCGCAATGATGGCGGACCGATCCCACCGTCAAGCTCATCGACGCAAGGAGCACGGGAACACCACTGCGGTTGCTGCTCCTGTTGCGGCCACAGAGACTTTTCCTCTACTGCCATCTCAGAGCGCACCTCTGTAACTTTGCCACAAGGTCCACGTCCCCGCCCATCAAAAGTGAGAAAATCAGCACTAACACAAACAAGGAGTGCCCTAGCACAAGGGCTCCCCGACAGATGAGGGGCAAGAAAAATAGACCTGGCAGAGTGTACGGTACTCGCACAGCAGCGCCATGTCACCGGACTCCAAAAATTCCCTGCCGACTCTGGGGATCCTACCACACCCAACGCACCAGCTTGTTACGGGACACCGCGGATATTGGACCCAGGGATGGTAGTGGGAGACCGCCATAAACCCGGGCACCGACAAGCCCGCACTACGGTAGAGGGGCGGTGCGAGCGGGCCCCGGCACTGAACGGAACTCCTCCCGGGGATCGTGACCCCGCACAATCCCACTTCTATTGACGCGATCTCAAATGAGACATCGCAACTACCGATTTCCAACAATGCGAATTCTAGTCACGAAGAGGCCTGACGGGGAGAAGAAGCCTTTGGCACAGGATGAATTACACGCACCAGTGGTACCAAATATCGTCCCTACACCCCGCATCGATAATTGCAGAATAAACAGCAACGACGCAATACTCACAAGTCACGATAATCCTCTTCATACCTCAAGTTACATCCGAGTTTAAAAGTCGGCGTTTTTACAGCCAATCCCAACGAACCCCACATATATACGCCCCCCCCAAGTCCCCAAAAACACCCCCGCAAAGAAAAGAATAAATGAAGAACCTGAGACCTTGAAAGGAAATACCTGAAACATATATCAAGGGAGCTATTAGAATCCATAAAAATGGCACGATACCCAGGCTAGTCGTAAGCGGTACAGAACAAAAATCGGCTCGAGGAAGGCGCGGTGTTAAAACCAGGTCCCAGGCTCCGAGACACAATATCCACCGCCAATACCCCAACACTCATGCCTAAAACCCCCCCCTCTTCCTATTCGCTCCTGCGCCCAAAGTTTATTATCGAAAGGCATACTTCACTTCCATAAAAACAAAGCGAAAAAGAAAAAAAAGAAGGCAGACGAGGGCGCAGGCTATGGATACGTCATGCCAATAGATAACGCCTAACCACCGACACACCGGGGGTAACTCATCACGCAACACCGAATGCATGATAGTCCCCTTCGACCAGACACGGCATCTGTTAGCAAGCGACGATAGCAGATGCCTTGCGCAGTGGACGAAGAATGCTTGCGCGGAGGTAGGAATGGATGTATTCGACAAGTGGTCCTCAACCGCTTGTTCCATATATGATACATACATACAGAAAGAGAAAACATCTGTAACTGCCATCCAAACCCTCACAACAGGAAAGAACCGCACATAGCCACAGTCACAGCCCTGCCATCCAGAACATAACGGGTAAACCTTTTGGATACCACGCTCTTGGCGGAAAACCCTTTCGGATACCATCAACCGGGAAACATACCATCGAAAAAAAAAAGTGAAACCTTTGTACTCGTACACAATTCCCTTCCCTTTGGCCCATTACAAACCTGCGACAAAAAATTCGAAAAATAAATAGAAAAAAAATAAAAAATAAACAAAGTCAGTTGTCATATTTTCAGAATTTTCTACAATCGAGAACTCTAAGAAGATTGCTAAACACCCACCTTTCACAGTATCACTCAGTTCACCCCAAAAAGTTGTGGGGGAAATTTTTTTTAAAAAAAAATACCAGAAAGGCTGCGAGTATTTCATTATCATTATTTTTTAAAATTCATTTGCACCCTTGAGCAATAAAAAGATGGGTAGAGATGTGTAAATAAATATTTTGTTTCGTTGCAAAGGTTTCACTTTTTCGATTGGTATATTTCCCGGGGGATGGTATGTATGATATCCGAAAGGTTCTTTCGAACATAACATGCCCTCCGTCTAAACCCTTGTATACCTGCCTCCAACCCCCTGAGATCACATCTCCATCAGCAATCGGCCGGATGGCCCGTTCTCCGGTCAGGCCCCTGCCGTCACGAGTCAGTCACACAGCACGCCAGAAGCGAAGGCGGAAACCATTTTTTCGACAAACATTTCCACTACAAAAAGTATCCATGATAGCGACGCCCGACCGCCATGCTCTTAGCCGTTCTCGACAAGCTAGTAGTGTATGGCTGTGTGGGGGACTGAACCGGTCGGTTACGTGCGCGGAAGGGGTCTGCAGGGGCCGGGCATCTGGAAGGGTCGCCGGATCGTCGCACCGACACCCTACCAATACACGACTACCGGTATCGCATCATAAGAGAATGGTGACTGCAAATATCGTTATCACGAATCAGGGTACCGTCCGCCTGGCTCCACCAGCGTCAATAGTCCCGCGAGTTTAGGATACCAGCCTAGCGACTGGTGATCAGGGGCGAGTGAGAAACTATGACACGGTAAGAACATAGCGGAGGGCGGTGCGTGTGTGAACTGTAGGAGAAGAGAAATGTTGGATATATAATACAAAGTAGAAAGATTCAATATGCTGAATGGAGTAACGGCTACTAGTACAAATGTAATGAGATGAGAAATGCAAGATCAATCTATCACCTTGGCGCCAATATTAATTGTAGGAGAGGTGTTGTGACCAGGGTAGACGAGGAGTGTATGGAGTATAGAAAGAGCGAGGGGAGAGGGAAAAGAAAAAAGTACAAGTGCAAGGAGTTGCGGAGCAGAGGGGAGACATGCGGGGTATTCCAGAGAGAGAGGAGTAGGTATAGAGCTAGAAATTATAAACAAAGAAGAAAAAAAGTACTGCCGTAGGATAGGTAGAAGCGGACGTAAAAAATTAGAATGCCGATAGAGTGAGACGACGCAAAACGCTAGTTATCCAAAGCTTGAGCTTGGCACTACATCCCCCCCCCTCCGTTAGCACCTCCATACCCAATCAAGCGAGAAGAACATACCATCTGATAGTAAACCCCCCGGGCTTTGACCAAATCCCCATGCCTACCCGACTCCACCACCCTCCCCTCGTCAAACACAAAAATCACGTCGGCAGCTTGCACAGTACTCAATCTGTGCGCAACAGCGACAACCGTCCTTCCAACCCTCGCGCGGTCAAACGCCTTTTGTACGAAGCGCTCGCTCTCGCTGTCCAGACTAGCCGTCGCCTCGTCCAGCAACAACATCCTAGGGTTGCGCACGAGTGCACGGGCAATGGCCACGCGCTGCTTCTGACCGCCCGAGAGTCCCATGCCTTTAGCGCCCACGATGGTCTGGTACCCGTCCGGAAGGGAGGTTATAAATTCGTGGATGTATGCGTCTTTGCAGGCTTGGACTATCTCTTCGTCAGTGGGTGGAGGGGAGGTGGTTGTTGCGCCTAGGCGCACGTTTTCTGCGATTGTGCCGGCATAGAGGGTCGGCTCCTGCGCTACCAGTGATACGGAGTTGCGGTAGGATGTCACGTCTAAGCTGGTGATGTCCGCCCCGTCAATCTCGATCCTACCGGAACTGGGATCGTAAAAGCGTTCTAGCAAAGAGATGGTTGTGGTTTTCCCGCACCCGGAAGCGCCTACGAACGCCGCGAACGAGCCCGCCGGGATTGCCAGATTGAGGTTCCGGAAGATGGGAGTGTCGCGGGTTGGGTACTTGAAATTCACGTCTTTGAATACCACCTCGCAACCACAATTTCCGGTGGGCATGGGGTCGCCCGGAGGCGGGGGGTTCTTCTCGCGCTTACCGAGGATCCGGTTCGCCGCCACGGCGGCTTGCGCAATGTTCTCGGTAAACCCGAAGAACTGTCCGGCAGATTCCCCGCCCTGGATGATGGCAATGTAGATGATAAAGAACTCGTAGGTTGATAACTCCCTATCCGCCAGTAGCCGGCTGCCGTACCAGAAGCAGAGGGCTGTAGCTAGGAGAGTTATGCTCTCGCTCGCAGAAAAGATTACCGACGCAAGAGCGGACCTTCGAAACGCCTTCTTCACGTGGCCCTTTAGCAGGACGTCGTAGCGGTCCCGTATGCTCTGTTCCATGATCAGTGATGAGACTGTGCGGAATGCGCCTACGGCTTCGCTGGCGAATTGTGCGCTTTCTTCAAAGACCTCAGCCGTGTCCTTCACGAAGCCGACCTCGATTCGGATACGAAGGAGCCCCGCAAAAAAGAGGAATGGAAGAGCAGCGCAGATACACACTAATGACAACTTCCAACTAATGACGAGAGAGAGAATGCAACAGCCGAGTATGCTTATTGTTGAGTTGAGCATTAGTCCCGTGCTCGGTCCTAAGAGTTCTTGAAGCGCCGCCGGGTGAGTATTTAATTGTGCCGTTAGGGTTCCCGCCGAATTCCCTTCCGCATCAAAGAAGGGGATCCCCTGCCGGAGGACGTTTTCGAAATACTCGAGGCGATAGTAGGCGTTTATGTGGTGGGTTATTGAAGTGAACATGGAACCCATAAGTGCGTATGCGATGCCGACACCAATAGCGAGGATGAAGAACATCAATGCCCAGTAGTTCTGGCGCTTAACGAATTCATCTTTATCCAAGAGTTTTTCGAAACCTTCCATGAACTTGCCAAACAGGACCGCCTGTATCGGAATCCCGGCGCCTAGATAGTGTTAGCCCTTGTTTGAGGAAACCTGCGGGAAAATCATTGCTCACCGCCACCAAGACACCCAATAAAGCCGATGAGATAAATCGGCCATAAATGTCGCTGTTCCCAGGCAATCAATCTCACACTGCGTAATATCCCCATCACCTTGGCCTTTTCCTTCTCAGCCATTGGCGCGGCTTCCTCATCTCCGACCGCAGCTCTCCCGCGTGCAGCGCTCAGCCTAGATCTCCAGGTGGTAGCCCTCTCGAGAGTAGTGTCCTGGGCAGTTTCGACCCTTTCCACTGGCTCAGCCTCAGGAGCCCCTTCCTCCTCTTCATCTTCCCCACCGGCCTCCCGCATGAGTAATGTCTGTCCACGCACCAGCTGCGTATACGCGCCATCCGGATTAGCCAGCAACTCTTCATGAGTGCCAACTTCGAGAACATTCCCAGCGCCAATAACCACGATTCTATCCGCCTTCCTGACAGTGCTCAATCGATGCGCGATGGTAATCGTCGTACGACCCTTCGATATCCTATCGAGCGCCTCCTGCACGATTTTCTCATTCCTAGGATCGATCGCGCTGGTAGCCTCGTCAAGGATCAAGATCTCTGGCTTCGAGATGATGCTCCGGGCAATCGCTATACGTTGCTTCTGGCCACCAGACAGTTTAATGCCCTGTTCACCGACTCTAGTCTCGTAAGCATCCGGTAGTTCTTCGACGAACGACGCTACATTCGCTTCAACACAGGCTGCTTTGACCATGACGAGTTTTTCCTCATCGCTGATGAATTCCCATTCCGTACCCGTGAGACCATAGGCCACGTTTTTGAAGACAGACTCGTTGAACAGGAATGGCTCTTGCATCACTAGACCGATCCTACCGCGCCACCAGCGGAGATTCAGGTCCTTGATGTCGATACCGGCGATGCTTACACTGCCCACGTTAGGGTCGTACCATCGCTCGATAAGCCCGACGATTGTTGACTTCCCAGACCCAGAGCGGCCAACGATAGCCGTGGTCTTGCCTTCCGGGAACGACAGTGACATCCCCCCGCCATCTCCCGCGTCATCTGGATCACCGCCGAGAACAACTACCTTTTCGCGCTCCCCACCGCCTGGATAGGCGAACTTGACGTTCCTGAGCTCGAGGTCTCCGGGTGGGAACTTTTCCGGCTGCAATCCCTCAGCGGAAAGGGAGTCGATGGAGGGCGTGCGATCAATCACTTCAAACATACTAGCTGAGGCCGAGGCGGCCTTGCTCATCAGTTGAATCGGTGGGGCGACAGCGCCGAATGCCATCACCGCGAACACGACGGCAAAGTAAACACTAATCCCGACCAGTCAATGTTGGCCCTCTCGAGCGACACTGGGCGATGGTGCACTCACACGATAATAGTTCCTGGGTCCGGGATCTCGCCTTGTTGGAACAACTTTATGCCGTACCAGAAGCAGATTGCATAGCTATCAATCCACATCCCTTAGCCTCTCCCTCCCTTCTTCGCACAGCGTAGCTGGACAACTCACCCCCCAAAAATGACGAAGAAGAGCCCAAAATACTGAATACCGGAAACAGGCGACTTCCTGAGCCCTGCCCTCTTCCCCTGTTCCAAAAGTTCCTTATACTTCACCCCAAGCCTCTTCTCGGCATTAAAGCTCTTGGCCGTGCGCACACTAGTCAACACCTCCTCCGCGAGCTCTGCAGCTTTCTCATGCGCTTCCATAACCGCCTTCTCAAGCTTAATATCAATGGGGATCGAAATACCATAAATCAAAATACTGGTGGGCAGAATAGTAGCGGTCACAAGTGTCAACTTCCAATTCTTGACAAAGCCGATGATGAAGCCCGAGAGGACCATGCCAACCCCCTGGATGAATGTGGAAGCCTTCTCAGAGATGCCCATCTGCACCGTGTTACTGTGCGTTGTGATGGACACCGCGACCGCTCCCGCGGTGCCAGCTTTCGCAGAGGAGGGTTCCGCCGCCCCGCCGCCCATCATCTTCTTCGTCGGGTCGAGTTCGGGGACCTTGGCTGCCAGTGCGTCAAAGTAGGTGAGGTCCTGGCGGAATATAGAGGTAAGGTATGCCAATCGTAGAGCTGCGGAAATGCGTGTCCCCGAGAGACGGAAGCATGCCTATGATAGCATGATCCCCGCCATCAGCCATCATCCTCCGGGCCAGCGAACAGGATGCATAAAGTCACTCACGATGCAAATATACCCCGTCAAAAACTTTCCGATAAACAGATACACAAAGTACAAGCTACGACATCCCATGTGTCAACCAAACATCCACTCGCGGGGGAACGAAGGAGAGGAGGAAAGTGAACAAACCACATGGTATCAACAGAATGCTCAAATTCGGCCTTGGTAACGCCGGACCCGGGCGTAAAATACTTGGAGAAATCCGTAACCAATTCACCAAAGATGAGGGTCATCATGGGACTAGAGCTCAAGTCAACATCACGTCCGGCCGTTGGCCCGTCACCTCCGGCGCTGTCGCCACGGTGGTGATAGAGCGTAGGGATAGAGAGTAGCATACAAGGCGGCACCCGTGGCAAAGGAAGTAAGCGCACCGACAAGCATCAGGGTGACATCAAACTTGTCTCCGAACTTGAGAATTCTCTGCAACGTTCACAAATATCAGCTCTGAATTGTATCGCTCTTTATTCGCGGAGAAGGTGAAACAAACGATATAATTCCCAAAGTCAACGTTCTCTTCCTTCTTTTTCTCACCATCTCCCTCCCCCTCGCCCTCCACGCCCTCGGATTCGGCATTCGGGACCTTGCCCCCTTTAGCAGCACCGGTAGCAGAGGCACCGCCCTCCCCACTCCCCTTCTTCCCCCGCTGCCAAAATCTCGGCTTGACAGCAACATCATCACCACCTCCGTTCCCAGCCATAACCGCAGCGTAGTAAATTCCGTAAGATTTGTACAGCAGTGAAAAAAAAAAATGTTTACCCAAAGATAATAAGCCCGAGATTTCTTTACAGATCGCAGGAAGACGCGGCCCTGGCTCGCTTTATAGAAAATCATCTAGAGGAGGAGGCGGGTACAAAAGCTTGGCTCTCGCCTAAAAAGTCCTACTGGCATGGAAGCAATTGGATACGGATGCGAATACTGCTGTCAGAGAGGCCAAATACGAGATTGTGTCTTCTTGGGTTGTGTTACAAGTACAGGAGTGGGCCAAGAAGGGAGGGGGAGGAGTCAGAGCCAAGACACGCGTTGTTTTGCGTGAAAGGGGGGGCGGAAGGTTCGTGCAGTGGTGGGGCTGTGATATCTGTCGGAGAAGGGCGGTTCTCAAGGGCTGCACCCATTGCTTCGTGCGGGTACGAGTACCGTACGAGTGCAGTGCGCCCGCACCGGTTACCGTATTGCCATCCCGACTACCGCATCATTACCGGGAGCCAACATCTTGCAAGCTACAGCCCATATACCGGTACCGGTAGTAGGACACATACCGGTACAGTAGGCTATCACTCGAGGAGCACCCCTGGCCTATCCTACCGGTTAACCGCTCTGCCTACCGTGGAGAAGGTTTTAACTTAAAGGTTTTCTGGTCATGTTTTGCCTGTTTTTACCCATAGAATTTTCTGTTTGGGATGGGGGGCTTAGCAGGTGGAAATTGTTCACCTGGAGGCATAAATATAATAAATTAAGCTAAATACTAGGCATGGCCTTGTCTTCCTTGGAGAGAGTGGAGGAACAAAGACACAAGGGCCCCATCCTGTACAAGCACAACCAACTACCCGTACACTACCGGTAGCTTCTTTGCTGTTGTTTCTGAGCTTCGTTTTCCCACCCTTTTAGCTTCCTCTCTCACTGTGTTTTACTGTCAATTCTTTTCCAACCCTTTTTATCCTGCTTCCTCACTGTGTTTTACTGCCAATTTTATCGGCATAATTCTACTCCCTTATCCAATTGAATATCACGTCATACAGTCAATAGGATTGCACAGGTGTCAGCCCGTTCAATCACACCATCCAAATTACTCGAGTACGGAAGTCAACAGACACTTCCACACCGGTACAGTACAGACAGGTACGAAGACTGTGGGGATCGTGAAAGCAACCGAAAAGGGCAATATTGTTACCGCAGTGATCAGGAGAGTGATACAGGTAATATGATAATCATGAGAGTGCCGTGTCAATGCAAATGAAGTTGAAAACTTGCACGGTATATGATACCGGTATGAGTTGCCTCTATCGAAGCACAGTCTTTATGATGATAAATCTGCGGAACCAAGTCCGTGCGAGTGGGAAGGAGGAAATGGAGCTCTACAGGCGGAGAGGAGGGTTGGAGGAGAAAATCACATACCGGTACTTGTACCATGATACTCGTAGGGGAACTCGAAGTTATCATACCAGTACCAAGGTTGTGGCTCTCGAGCCGCAACTCCTGATGCTTGCAAGCTCCCCCGTTCAGGAGCACTCTAAAGGGTACTAGTACAGTACAGTACTTGATAGCTTAATGTTACTTTGTACCTCCATATTATTATTATTATTATCATCATCACCATTATCATTTTGCACTTATCTCGTCATTGACGATCACCACTTTCCGCCTCAACTCTCCTTCACCGATCACCGCGGTACAAGTGCCCGTTTTTGTTCCGGGATCGACAATCTGTCCATCAGGGTGGTCTGATGGTGACTGGAGAGCGCGTGAACGAGAGAACACGGGTTAATTGAGGGATGCAAACGCGGGCGCAGATACTCGAGTACGCGTTATCATGGATACGGTATTAGAGTAGACTACCCTACCGAATCCCGTCGAAACAGCGGTCAGGTAAACCCACTTCCTCCAATCAGATGACGCGCATTACAATCACCCTGGAAAATCGCTGAGAACGGTTTCCGCTTTTGGCATTCCGCAAATCCCTACCGAATCTTCTTTTCCCCTCGGAAAGTTTCCATCTGCCACATATCCCGACCCAGCGCTCTATGAGTCAAAGGCTCGGTCCCAGAGCGCTGCCGGCAGTGTACTCGAGTACAAGTACGAGTACCGTACTGTGCAGTTCTTTACATCCTCCGTGTTCGTTACAACCACAATCAAAGAAAAAACCACACCCTCTTTTCTGCCAAGACCTCCTGTCATTGGCTGAAAACCTTTTCTCACAGCCTCGCCTTTTTACCCCTTAGTTAGAAGCCCCCTCTCCCAGCCATGAATCCTTCCGCCTCATGGGGGAAGGGGAAAGGCCCCAAACCCCCTCCTGCCCCTGTTCCAAAATGGCGAGGCAGCGGGGACCCACCTATCTTTCGGCCCTCAGGCCCACCCTCTCTTAAGAGGCCACGAAGCGATACCACCTCCACCCTCCCCGTTATACCTCCCGAGGTACAGGAGGGGTCTGTCCCGGGTGCCCCCTATTTTCAAGACCTTTTCGTCACGATAGGTCTCCAAATGGGCCTTGCTGAAAACCCCAAACTTGGCAACTCCTGGCTCATCGTCTTTAGGATGATGCAGTTGATGCATGATGACTACAGGAGAGCAGTCGACGGCCTCACTAAGGACCTCGCCGCTCTAACTAAGGAATGCGAGGCGGCCCGTGCCCCCGCCCCCCCCCCTCAGCCTGCTACCACCACCTCTCGCCCCCTGTGCCCCCTTGACCCCCTCCGGTCCCCACGACGTTCCTCCTCGGCCCCCCCTACCTACCCTCCTA